AAAAGCAGCTGAAAATCTCCTCTATATCGTTTCATGTTCACCCGTCACCCAAACTAGCACAAGCCGCTGTTTACTGAACCATCACACACAAAGCACCAGGCCCAAGTGGCAGACGGTTAAAACCCCCGTGCCTGGTCTGGGCTGTTAATAATGGCCGTCCAGCACTGTGTCGAGAAAGATGCTGAGGCCTCTTCTGAGCTTAGAGTAAATTCGGTGGCCAATTAGTCCTGTCTGCTCTGGGTGTGGGAGTTAGGGGAGGTGGCCCTTCCCTCACCTCACGGGAGTCCCATCTCCGGAGAGGTGTAGGCATGAAGCCCTGCCAATGAGGAGCCACACGGGACGTCACTTGAGTGACAGGCAGAGGACCGTCGTGGGCAAAGGGATGTGGCTGGGACTTCAGTGAGAGGAGCCTACCAGAGAGGCCCAAGGAGGGACATTGGGGCCTCTAGCTGGGTGTGTCCAGGTGGATGGAGGGTCGGGAGAAGAAGTTCTGGAAGAGCAGGAGCCAGACGGTGGGAACCGTGCTCTCAGGAGGGTGGGGAGTGGAAACCCTCAGGCTAGTTGGGGTGGGGGGGGCAGATGGGGAGACCTACAGTTGAGGTCTGATCCCCGAGGCACCCCCGGGCAGGGGCCAGGGCACAGGAGGGGCCCCCCTGTTCTGCTTGGGGTCAGGAATATGTCGAAGCTGTATGTGGGCTCTCCCCAAGGGGGCTGCCCCCCGCACCCTGAAGGCTCCAGGAAGTACCTTCGGGGGGTCTCAGGCCAGGATGACCCCCCTCCCCACCCACCGGGCCAGCGGACCGCTTCAGTAGCCCCTGGCTGCGGGAGAGAGTGGGAGCGCGCGAGGACGGCCAGGTGACTGCCTGCCCCACAGGTGGACAAGACAGAAGACAAGTCCCTGGAGGAGCGGGGCCGCATCCTGATCTCCCTCAAGTACAGCTCGCAGAAGCAGGGCCTGCTGGTTGGCATCGTGCGCTGTGCACACCTGGCCGCCATGGACGCCAACGGCTACTCGGACCCCTACGTGAAGACGTGAGTGAACGGCCCAGGCCAGCCGTCTCCTTCCCCCTTCACCTCACGGGACGGGAGCGTGGCGTGGCAAGCGCTAGAGCATCTCCCGAGGCAGGGTGGGCGCCGCATCCCCAGGAGCGTGTGCTCTTCTTGGCCACTCTGTGGGTTAAGTTTGACCATCCACGTCTCCCAGAGGAGGAAGCCGAGGCCTGGAGAATCTGAATGGCTTCCCGGGTCACACAGAGCGTGGTTGTCTCCTGACACCCCATTCGGACTTGCCCTTGACTGCGGCCTCAGGAGGGGCCGTTAGCAGGTTGGAGGAGGGGCCAGGCCTGGCACGGGCATGGAGATCCAGAGCAGGAGCTCTGCCAGGACTTAGGGCTGCCCGTGTGTGCCCAGCCCCGTGCTGGTGCCACAGGTGCCTGTCAGGGTCCACTCCGCCCTGCCAGGGAGGCCTATGGCGGTGCTGGAGAGAAACCCTAACTTGGGGGGGGGGGCGTGCAAGGCCATCATGCACCTGTGCCAGGCTATGCAGTGACCCTAGCTTGGAGGGGAAGGCAGGAGCTGGTGGCCCTGCAGACAGGGAGGAAGCGGGACACACAGCTTACACCGTCCGTGCTTTGGGCCTGCTACAAATAAATGATGGACGTTTGCTTTCACAGTGAGAATTTCTGGAAGGGTGGGACGCGGGCAGGAATTTGGCTCAGCAGAGGGGAGGCATTCCTGTGTAGGCAGAGGAATAGAGGAGCTAAACCTAGAAGAGGGATGAGCCTGGCCTGAGGGGACAGTGAGGAGCCCCAAGGGCCATGGGGTGCCTTGACACCATAGGGAGGCCAGGCCTGCCACAGGCACAGCTCTGGGGCTGCCTACCATTCCCATCGGCCTCCATTCTATTTCTGTCACTTTTAAGGTCCCATTATAGGGATGCCTGGCTAGCTCAGCCAGTGAAGTGTGTGACTCTTGATCTTAGGGTTGTGAGTTCGAGCCCCACGTTGGATGTAGAGATTACTTTTAAAGATTTTAGGGGCGCCTGGGTGACTCAGTTGGTTAAGCATCCCACTGTTGATTTCGGCTCAGGTCACGCATGATCTCATGTTTCATGGGATCGAGCTCCGCTTTGGGCTCTGTGCTGACATAGGGGAGGCAGCTTGAGATATTCTCTCTCTCTCTCTCTCTCTCTCTGCCCCTCCCCCTCCCCCTCCCCTTCCCGCATAGTCTCTTGCTCTCAAAAATAAGCAAGTAAAATGGGGCACCTGGGTGGCTCAGTCAGTTACGCGTCTGACTTCAGCTCAGATCATGATCTCCTGGTTCGTGAGTTCAAGCCCCACGTCGGGCTCTGTGCCGACAGCTCAGAGCCTGGAGCCTGCTTAGGATTCTGTGTCTCCCTCTCTCTCTGCCCCTCCCCTGCTCATGCTCTGTCTCTGTCTCAAAAAAAAAAAAAAAAAAAAAAGTAAGTAAACTTAGGTTAAAAAAAACTTAAGATTTTAAAGTAAGTAGGTAGGATTTTATTTATTATAAAATGTGGTACAGCCACTCCAGGAAACCATCTGTGGTTCCTCAGAAGTTAAACATGGAGTCACCACGTGATCCAGCAAGTCCACTCGAGAGCTGGAAACACACGTGCACACGAACACTGGTACATGAATGCTCACAGCAGCATCAGTCACAGGGGACAAAAGGAGACCACCTAAATGTCCGTCAGCTGATGAGTGGATAGACCAACAGTGGCATAGCTACACAGAGCGACGGGCTTCAGCCATAAAACTATGGCTATGCTATAACCTGTACAAACCTTGAAAAGACCATGCAAAGATTATGCTAAGGGAGAGAAGCCAAACACAAGAGAAGCCACGTGTTGTAGAACTTCATTTATACGAAAGCCTTAAATAGGCAAATACAGGAGCTCCTGGGTGGCTCAGTCTATTAAGCGTTGGACACTTGATTTCAGTATTTCAGTTCAGGTCGTGATCTCACAGTTTGGGAGTTTGAGCCCTGCATCGGGCTCTGTACTGACAGCGCAGAGCCTGCTTGGGATTCTCTCTCTGCCCCTCCCCTGCTTGTGATCTCTCTCTGTCTCAAAATAAATAAACTATGTATATATATAGGCAAATCCACAGAGACAGCAAACAGATTAGATTGGTAGTTGGCGGGGCTGGAAGGAGGTTGGGGGGAAATGGGGAGTGACTGCTAACAGGTACTGCATTTCTTTCCCAGGTGACGAAAATGTTCTGAAATTGACTGTGATGGTTGCCCAGCTCTGAATATACTAAAAACCATTTTTTGTACTTTATTTTTTTTAAGTAGGCACCATACCCGACATGGATCTCACGACCCTGAGATCAAGAGTCCTCTGTTCCACTGACTGAGCCAGCCAGGCGCTCCCAATTGTATGTTTTAAAACAGCGCGTTATATAACGTGTGGATCATTTTTTTTCGAGAGAGAGAGCACGAGCAGGGGAGGGGCAGAGAGTGAGAATCTTAAGCAGGCATCACGTATAGCACAGAGCCTGACAATGGGGCTCGATCTCGACTGTGAGATCATGACCCGAGCCAAGATCGAGAGTCAGACACTTAACTGACTGAGCCACCCAGGCACCCCTGAATCATGTTTTAGTAGAGCTATTATTTAAAACTTCAACGCCATCAGGCCCAGCAGCAGGGCCAGGTATAATGGGAAGCTGACCTGGGTCACATGGTGCAGGGGCTACTGGTTTTCCACATAAACAGTGATTTGAGGGGTGCTGGACTCTTGATTTCTGCTCAGGCCGTGATCTCACAGTTCATGAGTTCGAGCCCTGTGTCGGGCTCCATACTGACCATGCTGAACCTGCTTTGGATTCTCTCTTTCCCTCTCTCTCTGCACACCCCCACCCAAGGCTGTGCCTCTCCATCTCTCAAAATAAATAAGAAAATAAGGAAAAAAAACAGTGATTTGGGTCCCCACCTCCATCATTAGCAAAACCGTGATTTCCAGTAGATTAAAGACTACTGTGAGAGGAAATGCCATAACCATCCAGAAGATAATCAGGAGACTCTCCATAACCACTGGAGGAAAAGTCAGCCATATCCAGTCAACTAGGCAAATGTGGGCACCCTGTGGCTGTATTATCTCCCTCCCAGGTTTGTATCCTAGAAACCCACGTACGGGTGAGAGGCCGATTTTTGCAGCATTGCTCGGCATAGCAGTACACTCGAAATAGCCACGCGTTCATCAGCAGAAGAATAGATTAATAAAATGTGGCATATGCGTGTAATGAAGTAGCGTGCAGTTAAAATGAATAAATTCAGGCTAGATAAATTAACATGGACAGCTATCCAAACATGCTGATCCCCAAAGCAAACTTGAGAACAGTGTTTCTGAACATCTGTAGATCTCAAATATACAGCGCGATACTATTTCTGGACATTTGTAGATCTCCAACCCTGCAGAGAATGTCCTAGCAGTGGTGGTCTCTGGGGAGGCAGGGAGGAGGGGGAAGGGCCTGGGGAGGGCATCAAAGTGCCTTCACTTGTATCTGGGGTGCTAGAGCTCCGGTACGGGAGGAAAGCCAATCCAAAGCCAAAGTGGCGTGAAATCTGAAAATCTGGCTCTGGGGCGCCTGGGTGGCGCAGTCGGTTAAGCGTCTGACTTCAGCCAGGTCACGATCTCGCGGTCTGTGAGTTCGAGCCCCGCGTCGGGCTCTGGGCTGATGGCTCAGAGCCTGGAGCCTGTTTCCGATTCTGTGTCTCCCTCTCTCTCTGCCCCTCCCCCGTTCATGCTCTGTCTCTCTCTGTCCCAAAAATAAATGTTGAAAATCTGGCTCTGTGTCCACCTGCCAAGTTGACAGGAATTCCAGGTT